GGTGGGATAGACTCTAGTGGGACTGTCTCTGGAGGGACTGTCTAAGGTGGGATAGACTCTAGTGGGATAGACTGTCTCTGGTGGGACAGACTCCGGTGGGACTGTCTAAGGTGGGATAGACTCTAGTGGGACTGTCTCTGGTGGGACAGTCTAAGGTGGGATAGACTCTAGTGGGATAGACTGTCTCTGGTGGGACAGGCTCCGGTGGGACAGGCTCCGGTGGGACTGTCTCTGGTGGGACAGGCTCCGGTGGGACTGTCTCTGGTGGGACAGACTCCGGTGGGACAGTCTCCAGTTGCACCAACATGCAATTTGACAAAGAAGGCAGCTGTTTCCTGCAGCTCTGTACTGTTCCAGTAGAACAGTAATCCCTGCCCATAGGAGGTTCTGCTCATACTGTACCAGAAGTAGGTCCTGCCTGTTCCTTCACTGAGCGAGGTGATTCTCACTGGGCTCCCCTAAAGCACTGCCTGGAGCACTTTTTATCGCATCATCTCAGAGGAGGAATTTACTTTGAACTGTTATACATCTGAACTTATTTCCAATTGAAGGCTTGTGTGTGTGTTAAGTGCCTAGAGTGCAGGATAGTGATGTCTATGTACTTGTCAGTAGTGTAAATGAGGAGTGGTGATGTTCTCCTTCCTGTTGTCTATGACTTTAGGCATACTGGACAATTAACCAGGGCTGTTGCAGTTCGCATCCTTAGGTCCAGCTCTGTGCTGTATTGAGGTGAAATTCCGGTGTTTGACGGAACATGTCTCGGCTCTGAACCAATCGGAGTTCATCAGTGAATTGAAGTGAAGATCAGGGAATTGAACTGCGTTTTCACCCTCCCAGCAGCTGTCGAGGAACGAATGCAGTTCGTCTGACGAGGGATGACTGGGCTGTAAAACGCATCGCCGTGACCGTACACTGTGTTCTTTCTAAAACGCGCTCGAGTCGTTATAAATAAGCAAATCCGACTCAGAATGAGCAGCGCGCAGACGTCCAGCACCGTTTATTTCGTTTCCGCAGCTTCGACTTGAGATCACAAGGACACAGCGCTGCGTGCTTCACAGGCCAGTCACGGGTCGGCCGCCGGCAGCTCTCTACTGTCACGCCCTCTGCAGCCAGAGGGCGCTCCTTCTCTGTCCTGTCCCTAGTTTCCGGTCTGCTGTCCTTCCTGTCCCTCTCTTTCTCTTGGGCTATATATTTCCGGGTCTTGCACTCTGTCCTCGCTCAGCATTGACGTTCGGATGTCCTGAGACCCGCCTAGCACCAGGGCGCCCCACGTCCGCTCCCTGAGGGCATAGGTTTCTATACGGCATTCCTGAACTCTTTGCACTAATGAGCCCGGGCCTTTTCCCGTCTCGCCGCTACGCATATGGGTCTTTTTCTGCTCTCCTGCTCCCCACGGTTAGTCCCTTTGGATGTCCGTGACATCTGCCCCTGTCCTGCCAGGAGCTGCGGTCCGAGCACACTGGGGTCACGTCCCCCCGCCTTTACACCCCAGATCACACAGGCCCCCATCCCAGGTCTTCGGGCTGTCTGGCCAGCGGGTCGGGATAAGGCGTGATCGCAGAGCAGCGCTGTCTTGAATCTGGGAGGTTTTCGGAGAGCTCCGATAAAACGCCTTGCGTTATTACCTGGACGAAAACCTAACCTGATCGTTCTTTCAGTTCATATTCGGCACTTCAAAAACAATTTCTTAGATAAACAACGTTTTGGCCCCCAAAATCTTGCGTTTGCAGTTCGACTGCTTCGATTTGGGCTGAAAAGGAGAAAACATTTCGAGACGCCAAGGCGCTCGGGTCTCTCGGCGTCTCTGCGGCTGGGTTGGCCTTTTCGCCGTGAATGTTAACTCAGTCAGCGCCCAGAGCTCAGAGCGCAGGCCGCCGGCAGGGACCGCGCACAGCGCCGAGCAGGGGGGCGGCATTTTCAGACGAAAGGGGTCACGGTGTGCCCGTCTGTGACGAAAAGTGCCAAGTCGGGGCGTCGCAGCGGGAGCCCAGTCGGTTGAGCTCGCCGTAACCCCGCCTGCTCGCACGGACAGCGGGCGGCCGGACCGGCACGGTGTGGCGAGGTCGACACCCCGCAGGGAGCGGGCTCGGCCCCGCCGCCCCGGGGTTTGTGAGTTAGTTACCAGGCCAACGGCGCTCGGTGCGGGCGGTGAGAGCGGGGTGAGAAGTAACAGGGTCACCCGCACCGGACCGGGGGACCCGGGCTTCGCTACCGGGAGAGTGGCTCCCTCCAGCGGGCCGCGTGAAATCAGTAATGGCCCTCGCGGGACGAAAACGCGAGCGTTTTAACTGTCTTTACACCTCCCCCCCCCCTCGTTCCCCCGCCAGCGCTCGGCAGAAAGAGCGACTCGGTCGCTCACCGACTTGGTAGAGGCGGCCCTCGGGGGAGAAGATGGTGATGTGGCGGTCGAACCCCGCGCTGGAGCCCCGGGACATGGCGGCCCTGGAGCGAGGAGCGTGTCGGCAAACCGGGGGGCTGCGGGCGGGCGGCTGCTCTTCTGGGCGAGGCGGCGAGGCCCGAGTGAGGCGCAGGGTGATGCAGCAGACAGACACACTTCCCGAACCGCTGCTCTTTCGCTTTCTCTTTCGCTCTCCGCCGGCCCTCTGCTGCCGGTTGCCCACGGCCTGCCTGCTGCGCGGGTGGAGACTCTCGGGCGGTTCACACGCGTCTCACACCTCCTTCGGGGTGTCTTTCTCCTGCACTTTGCTCACCGGCGGCATCGGCACTACCGCGGCCGCTCTCCACGGTTCCTAACTGTACTGCCGCTGAAGCGACAGCCCGCAACGCCACGTTTGCCCAGTCCGCACAGTCCGCAAATGCGTGTGGACATCGTGCTAAGTACTTTAGCCGGATGCGGTTAATCATGTTTGTTTCTTGATCAAAGCGCGGACTGAGTTATTACACTTGCTGCTGTAGGTGTTGCTGCTGCTGGAAGAGGTGTTAGTGGGACCAGTAGGGGGCGCTCACCCTGCGGTCTGTGTGGGTCCTAATGCCCCAGTACAGTGATGGGGACACTATACTGTAAAAATGGCTCTGTCCTTCAGATGAGACGTTAAACCGAGGTCCTGATTCTCTGTGGTCATTAAAAACCCCAGGGTGTTTCTCGAAAAGAGTAGGGGTGTTACCCCAGTGTCCTGGCCAAATTTCCCCCTGGACTTTACCAGTCATGGCCTCCTAATAACCCCTCATCTCTGAACTGGCTTCATCACTCTGCTCTCCTCCCACTGAGAGCTGGTGTGTGGGGAGAGTACTGATGGACTATGGCTGCTGTCGCATCATCCAGGTGGGGGTACACACTGGTGGTGGTGGAGGGGATCCCCATTACTGTAAAGCTCTTTGATCGGAGTGTCCAGAAAAGCGCTATATAAGTGTAAGCAATTATTTTTTGTATTAATTCTTAACAACATACTTCTCTGTTCTGTTGTTCTGATTTATTCTGTTTGTTGTGTACTGTCTGCATTGTATGGGGTTGTCTGCTGTGCTCTGTATGTCCCGAGCGATCAGGGTGAATACGAATCCCAAAGTACACGTACAGTATTATGGCAATAAAGTCCTCTACTCCTCTGCTGTCGAGAGTCAGCTCGGGGGGCGAAGTGCCCGCGAGGGGGCGCGCCGAGCTCGAGGACGTGCCGGCTGTCCCGCGAGCTGCAGCGCGTGGTTTGTGCGGATCTTGCGAGCAGACGACATTCCCGCTCGCTCGGCAGCGTGTCCGTGACTGTGGATCCGTCCCGACACGGCATGTCTGCAGGAGACATCTTGCAGTTTCATCGCAAAAGGCGAGCAGCGGTTAACACGTTTCAAAGCCTGATTTACGGCTTCTCACGGACACCTGCCGGTCTTCTTTCCGCGCCTCGAAAGCTTGAGTAACTTCGGCGGAGGAGCGGTCTGGAAAAGTGAGGAAGACTGGAGGAAACGGGGGCTTCGCCCGTTGTCCTCTGTCGTGAAGCGCGGAGTATGGGAGAAGTACGAGCTTTCCATCCAGCGTGCAGGCTGTCGAAGCTCCGCGGTCTCCGACTCACGGGCAGACGGCTCTCACGTTGGCCCGGGAAGCTCATTTGTCGGTAATAAGGATGCGCCGTGCCGCAGAGCCAAGATGGGATCAGTTTCACCCCCCACCCCCCCCTCACGAAACCCCCCTCCCTGCAGGTAGGCGAGCGTCAGGACTGAGCTTCCGCCGGACCAGAGCGCAGGTCCGAGCGGCTGTGGAGCACTCGTCTGTGTGTTTCTGAGCGCTCTCCGTCCGGGTCGTCGTCATGAACCGGAGAGTGGGGTTCTGTCTGAGCGACAAGAAGAGGAAGAGGATGAATCTGGCGGCGTTCGCCGAGCTGTGTCAGTGAGTAGCGGCAGTCACAGCGCGCTCTCAGTTTGAGAACGATAGCCTGTATTCTCCTTTCTTTCAGTCGTTACGAGTTTGATTTTATCCTCGTTTTAGAGAAGTCTTACGCCCGGGTACTTCTAAGACGTGTTTTTTTCTGTGTTACTGCTTTTGAAAAATAATCTCAAATCCTTCCTCCTCTGCTCAAATCAGCCATTTAGCTGTCTCTCTCCCTGTGTCCGTGTCCATTCCCTGTTTTCCTCTCTGCCTGCCTCTTCAGGACCCGGGGTATCGAAGTAGTGGAGGTGAGCTGCTGCATCTCGTTTCCTGGAGTCCAAGGCGCTGTGCAGTTCAGTCTGATCGGGTCACCTCGGATCTCCATCGCCTCCACGACCCCTGCTGGGAGTGCTGGGAGCTCGAATGGGGCTGAACCTTGTGTGGGAAAAGCAGGCTGCGCAGAATTCCGTGCACACACCGGCCTTGAGCCTGTGGGCACACCTCAGACACACAGGCGCGCCGCCGGAGGTTCAGAGACACCAGCTGGCTCTGTCAGCCTGCGCCCTCTCTTGAGTCAGCCCCCCCCCCCCCCTTCTGTCTCTCTGTCAGGGCCAGGCGGCCACTGGCCTGCGCTGAGATCACTGACCTCTGAGATCGGAGCAATACGTTTTGTGCTGCGGTAGCTGTAGCAATAGAAACAGTAGCAGTAGGAGGAGGAGGAGGAGGAGGAGGAGTTGCAGTGAGATAAAGCCAATCCCCAAGTCTGGCATTTTACGTAGATGTCATAAAGTAAACTGGACATTTTGCATTAGACTAAATTGTCAGTAGTGCAGGAGGGCTTGGGTAGGCGTGTCGGCTAAGTCTCGATATGGGTTACAGATAGACCTGAGCCAGCCCCTGGACCTGCAGGGACCCTTCAGCATCATTGTGCACAAGCTGTCGGACGTCATCGTGGAGGCAGAGCACAGCAGCCAGTCGCAGGAGCTCCTGGCAAACTTTGAGGTAAACCAGACATGGCTGTAGCCCACCAGCCTGTAGCTCTGGTGCTCGTTAATGATAATGAATAATAATCGTACACTTATATAGCGCTTTTCTAGACACTCCACTCAGAGCGCTTTACCGTTAATGGGGAATCCCACTACCGCCACCAATGTGGAGCCCCTGGCTGATGCAACAGCAGCCATAGAGCACCAGTACTCTCCCCACACACCAGCTCTCAGTGGGGAGGAGAAGAGAGTGATGAAGCCAGTTCAGAGAGGGGGATTATTAGGAGGCCATGATTGGTAAAGGCCAGGGGGAGATTTGGTCAGGACGCCGGGGTTACACCCCTACTCTTTATGAGAAACGGCCTGGAATTTTTAATGAGCACAGAGTCATGTTTTAAAACTCATCCAAAGGACGGCACCTTTTTACAGTATAGTGTCCCCGTCACTATACTGGGGCATTAGGGTCCACATACTGTAGAGCGCAGGGTGAGTGCCCTCTACTGGCCCCACTAACACCTCTTCCAGCAGCAACCTTAGTGTTTCCCAGGAGGTCTCCCCTCCATGTACTGTCCAGCCTCACACCTGCGGAGCTCCAGTGGGGCTGCCAGCGGTGAGCTGCAGGGGGATAGGGCAGCGGTCGCTCGTCTCCCCAGGCAGACTTCCCCTTCCCATGTTCCAGCCAGCGGAAGTGTGGGCGTCTTCCTGTCTGGAGAGGTCCTGCTTCCTGTACACACCACAGCTCTGCCTGGTGGTCGTCAGTTGCTTCGATGAGCCAGATGGTCGGATTGCCTTTCCAGTTTCCCGAATCAGGCCGTCTCAGCCTCTGTGTGTGTGTCCGCGTCTGTGTATTTCAGAAGCATGTCGCTGCGCACCCCCTCACAGTGCTGCTGGACCCTCTTCCAGCCATGAGGCAGCTCCTTGACCGCTTCGTCTCCTACCACATCATGAACCGGCTGCACGACGTCATGGCCGGTATGGACCCTTCCGTGGTCCGGACCTCTCTCCGGAGGAGACGGGAGGGAATGAGGGAGGGGGCCCTCACTGAGTGCTGTCTGTTCTTCCTCACAGACCCCCGTATCTGCAGCCCCCCCTACCTGGAGATCAGCACTGCGGACCAGAGGGAAATCAGGGATGCTGTTGCCAAGCAACAACTCAGCTACCCTCTGAGTAAGTGTGTAGGGTTCAGGTCTTGCTAAGTGCGTCCGCTCTGTGCTGACACCGAATTCACACCAGACTCGCCATCCACAGCTAGCCTGCGCTGACGTGGAACTCACACATTTACAACCCCCATTCACATTGCACTATCCTCGAATTCACAATTCCCATTCGCACTGTTTAAACACTGAGCACGGCGTGCTTTTTCTCACACACTTCAGCTTCCAAACAGAAGACGGGCACTGCGACAGGGGACCGACTTAGTGGTGTTGAAGGCCACTGCTGTGAGCTGATGGAGTGAGGTTAACACGTTTTTTTTTCCGGTTCAAATAGTTATCCTCTTTTCTTTTCTCTCATCTCCCACCATCCCTTTCTTTCTGTGGCTCCCAGTTTCCAAAACGAGAGTGGCTCACGGATCGCGTTCTCATGAAGTGAGTGTCTCATGCTGTCGGTCTGGCTGTCTGGCTGGGAATCTGCCACTCTGCCTGTCTGCTCACCTGTCCCTTGGCGCCTCTGCTTTCATCGAGGCAGCGGATGTGTTTGTTTCACATGTGTTTGTGGCTTCTCTTTCACCATGCCTCGGTCTGGCTTGCTGTGCTCACCCCTGATGGCAGCTGTGTCAAAGAGAATGAATAAGACCTCAGACACAACACTGGGCTCAGTTGTGATCGCAGTACTGCAAGAAACGTGTTGTCGCTGCAGTGGCAGTGCAAATGAGAGCATTCACACTGTTACCTGGGCTGAAGGGAATGTCGGACTGTGGGGTTCAGTTAGGGAAGCAAGCAGCACGCCTCTTCTGGGAGTCTGTGACTCTGACAGCAATGGGTTCAGCTGACTGAGCAAATTTGCAGCATTCCTGGACAGCAGGGCTTGAGAATTCGTCGATTGGTCTTTAAAACATTCCTATAGCGTGTTTACTCTTTTATATTCGGACCTTCTTCGTGGCATCTATGGGAACTCAAGAGGTCCGCTGGGGTTGTGTCTGGATTATGAAAAGCCGTCATGTCAGAGCCGAGTAGACATGGAGTTTATTCTGCTCTCTGGACGGCCCGTCCTTGTAAACTAACCTCGGAGGTGGAAGATCCACTGCACTGGCCAGGAGACCGGAGATGAAATCCGGGAGCAGGCTCTGTGGGAAGCCGGCGGGAGCGGAATGCCGGCTGCCCAGGCGATCCGGATACGCGGTCGGACAGGCAGGGGCCGAGG